ATCCACCCCCACATTACCATCACCCGGGAGGGGGCTGAGCCACCCCCAGTACCACAACCCTCCTCCTCATTCCCGGATTTGGGAAGTCGGGCGGTTCCTCCCGGCTCTGTGGCCGCAGGGTGGGGGGGGCTCTCCCCGGTGTGGGGGCGCAGGGGCAGCCCCCCCACAGCCCCCCAGCCCCCCGTGCCGTGGCAGGTGGGGCGCTCGTCGCTGCTGGTGGGGGCCCTGCACAAACAGTATGCGCAGGAGCTGCTCCCGGACAAGCTCCCGCCGCAGGACAACACCACCACCACCGACTCGGACATGGAGGAGCCCTACCTGCAAGGTAGCGCCCAAATCCCCCCCCGGGACACCCCCAAAACCCCCCTCCCCGGCGAGCAGGGGGGCTGAGCTGGCTGGTTTCTCTCTCTGGGTGTCCCCCCACGCCCCCCAGAGTCCAAAGAGGAGGGGAACCCCCCCAAGCTGAAGTGTGAGCTCTGCGGCCGCGTCGACTTCGCCTACAAGTTCAAGCGCTCCAAGCGCTTCTGCTCCATGGCCTGTGCCAAGAGGTAACCCCCGACCCCAAACAGCCCCCTGGGGAACCCCAAAACACGCCTGGGGGATGGGGGAAACCCCAAAGGACACGTCTGGGGGGTGGGGGGGACCCTAAAATCCTATTGAGGGAGTGGGGAAACCCTCAAATCCATTGGGGGGATGTAACCCAAAAACCCCCCTGGTGGAGTGGGGGTAACCCCAAAGTACATCTGGGGGGTGGGGGGACCCTAAAATCCTATTGAGGGAGTGGGGAAACCCTAAAATCCATCGGGGGGACGTAACGCAAAAACCCCCCTGGTGGAGTGGGGGTAACCCCAAAGTACATCTGGGGGATGGGGGAACTCTGAAATGCTATTGAGGGAGTGGGGAGATCCTCAAATCCATCAGGGGGACAGAACCCAAAAACCCCTCTGGTGGAGTGGTGGTAACCCCAAAACACATCTGGGGGCGTAACCCTAAAATCCACCTGGGGGGTGGGGTAACCCTAAAGTCTGCCCAACAGCCCCCTGGGGAGGGGGGGGTAACCCCAAAACACATCCTGGGGGGTAACCCTAAAATCCATCTGGAGGAGTGGGGAAACCGTAATGTCCACCTGGGGGGTGGGGGGACCCTAAAATCCATCGGGGGGGGTGGGGGTAACCCTAAAATCCATCTGGCCCCTTTCTTCCCAGCAGGAGGGGGGTAACCCCAAAATCCACCTGGGGGTGTGGAGGTAACCCCAAAACACTCCTGAGGGGTGGGGGGAACCCCTACAATCTATCAGGGGGGTGGGAGGAACCCCAAAACCCACCAACATCCCCCTGGTAGGGTGGGGGGAACCCTAAAATTCACCTGGAGGGGTGGGGATAACCCCCAAACACATTTGGGGGAGTAACCCCAAAACACATCTGGGGGGGATAACCCCAAAACATACCTAGTGAAGTGGGGGGAACACCAAAATCCATCTGGGGGAGGGGTGAGGTAACCCCAAAACACACTTGGAGGGTGGGGGGAACCCTAAATTCCATCTGAGGGGCTGGGGTAACCCCAAAACCCACCAACATCCCAAAATCCATCTGGGGGTGGGGGTAACCCCAAAACCCACCCACCCACCCCCCCCTCCCAGCAAGGTAGAGGTAACCCCAAAATCCACTTGGCAGGGTGGGGGTAACCCCAAACCCCACCTGCCCCTCCCACACTCTCAGTGGAGTAGAGGGAACCCCAAAAATCCACCCAGCAGGATATAGGGAACCCCAAAACCAACCCAACCCCTCTGGCAGGGTGGGGGTAACCCCCAAAATCCACCTAACCTCCACCCCATCAGGGTAGAGAACCCCAAAACCCACCTGATGGGGTTGCCATAATCCCAAAAATCACTGAGCAGGGTAGAGATAACCCCAAAATCCATTTGGCAGGGTGGGGGCAACCCCAAAATCCACCCACCCTTCCTACACTCTTACTGGAGTAGAGGGAAACCCAAAAATACATCCAGCAGGATAGAGGGAACCCCAAAACCCACCTGACGTCCACCCCATCAGAGTAGAGGGAACCCCAAAACCCACCTGGCAGGGTGGGGGTAACCCCAAAATCCACAGGGCCCCTTGTCAGTGGGGTAGAGAGAACCCCAAAATCCCCCTCAGTGGGGTAGAGAAAACCCCAAAATCCATCTGGCAGGGTGAGGGTAACCCCAAAATCCCCCCATATCCCCCTCAGTGGGGTAGAGAGAACCCCAAAATCCATCTGACAGGGTGAGGGTAACCCCAAAATCCCCCCGTATCCCCCTCAGTGGAGTAGAGGGAACCCCAAAATCCATCTGGCGGGGTGGGGGTAACCCCAAAACCCACCTGACCTCCACCTCATCAGGGTAGAGGTGACCCTAAAACCCACCTGGCAGGGTGGAGGTAACCCTCTACCCCCCCCCAAAGTGGAGTGTGGGGGTAACCCCCAAACCCCCCTCGCCGTGGGGTGACCCCCCCGAGCCGCTCCCCCCACAGGTACAACGTGGGCTGCACCAAGAGGGTGGGTTTGTTCCACCCCGACCGCACCAAACTGCAGAAGCCGGGGGGGCCCCCCCACGGACGGCGCCGCAGCTGCAAAGGGCCCCTGCCCCCCCTGGGCAAGGACAGCAAGAAACAGGTGAGGGGGCACGGGGGGGGCAAAGCGGGCACGGGGGCACCCAGGCTGGGGCTTGGCACTCAATTCTGGGCACACGGGCTGGGGGCTGGGCCGGGGGTTGCCCCTGAATTGTGGGGCTGGGGTGGGCACCGAGGCTGCGGTTTGTACCCAGCTGAGGGACAGGGGGTGGGCACCGAGGTTTGTACCCGGCTGGGG